GCCTTCTACTCATGCTTATTTGGTACTTGTGAAAAGAAACATTGAAAATTTAAAAAACAGATTTTAGTAGTTTTATATTTTATTTCTGCAAAAATAAAATTCTTGAGATGTTAGTTTTGATGAGAATCCTCATCGTTTTTTTTTTGAGATGGAGAAGTTGAATCAGAGTTGCGATGTTTTTAAGAGTGATGCTTTACATTCCAGTTGTATTTAGAAAACTCGGAAGTTGCTATTGCGATGGGGCGCGTGCGAATGTGAGTGTAAATATGGCTGCCAGTGGGAGGTGGATATGGGTGCATCTGAGGCAGTCAGCCTGGCAACACTGGGAACGAGACACACAGTATCCATTAGCCTTGCATGCACATCGCAGCCATACATCTGCACCCGCAGCCATATTCACATGCACATCATTATTTTAAGAATTATTCAATGGAAGAGACATTTTTTTGTTTAGCTATGTCAAATCTACATCTTTCCGATTTTGCGAACGATTTTCGAAAAACAGTTAAAATAGATGATCTGTCTGTGGTTGTATAAAAATTTTGTGGAGCTACATTTGATAATCTAACTAAATTTGAGTTATTTAAGACGTACCGCAGGATTTCATGGTAAATCTGCCCCCTCTCGGTCTTCATTTTCAATATGATAGAAAGGCAGAGCTTGAAGCTCTACACCTTTCGGTAATTTAGTTTTCTTTGTTCTTGGACAGAAAAAAAGTTTTTCCAAGATCACGTTATTTTGAGGTCTATGGGCTCTTTTTTAGGTATTCAGTGTTTTGAACGATAATCGTAATGTCTATAGTTTTTGCTGTGTTTTAATCCGGATGTCAAAATTAGTGACATAGATCGACACAATCTTTCACGTTCTGCAAAACAATGCAAGGACAATTTGTCGCACGGAGATTTTGTTGCAATGACATAAATCAATCGAAATTAGTATTTGTTTTTCAACAACCAAGCAACTTATTCATTTAAGTTTGACACTTGTAATTCGATGATCATAAAAATTATTAAAAATGTAACTAATAACTAAACTTCGATTTTTGATCTGATACAGTATAACAGCCTTCTTCTGTCGATAAGTATTTAGTTTATTCGAGCTATACAAGTGATGAACGTTTTCTTATAGTACTGGAAGTAGAAATGCACATTTTTTTAAATTTATGCTGCAGTTCAAGATTTTTGACAATGAGAAAATACCTTGGAAAGACAAACAAAATTTAGCGTCCAATGAAGAAGAGCAGCATTAATGTCATCAAAAACTTTTAACGAATTTCTATTTTCAAATCTTCGCGTTCGATGTACAAATTCTATTATTTTAGAAAGCATCGCCTATTATTGTATACATATTAATAATAGTTTGCAGAAAAAACTTGGAACAGTCTTACTATTTAAGCATGCAATACTTTCTAAACCCTATCGAGTCTTCGTTTTGCAATTATTGCAGGTTTATACTAAGCAGATTAGCCACGAATAATACATATGTATTTAATCCGATTCTAATTTTATTCAGGTACGATACTAATCTGGTATAACAATGGCATATAGTCTTAAAGCGAATGATACGTGTGCATTATATTATTAGAATATGAGAATTCGCCTTGTTAGGAAACTTCATCGATAGATGAAGCTACCGTTATATAGAATTAGTTCCTGATACGAACGGCTTAGATCCTAAAAACTTCTAAAATACCGAGCATCGAATAATCGGAAACGAATCATTCATCCCGAATAACGCCTAAAACCAGGTCCATGCTTTTGATGAAATAATTAAGTGATACTTCAAGACTCTCGCGAATACTGATGCGAAAGGTTTCGTTTTATTATTTTCAATAGCATAATTTCACGCTAGTTGCATTATTTCAATTATTAATATTGAAAAAATTGTAATCAATTTTATTGATAGACTAACACTCAGATATATCTCAGTTCTGGAATTAAAAGGAAGGTGAATCAAACCCCGAATCAGATATTCTAAAACTGTCAATTGATATTCTTTTAATAGAAAAAAATTTTTCTTCAACGAAGTTGAACTAGTCCTCGATACAAGCTAAACATTTATTCCAAGTTTTTTTGCAAGCCATTGTATATATATATATATATATATATATATATATATAAGGAAAGTTAGCGCCATATTCGAGTTTTTTGCGAAACGATTCGTCCCATCAATTGTGCCACTTAGGA